GTTGCAGAAAATTTCAAAGTGTATTTAGAGTCAAGGTGATTTAAAAGCGGGAATATGGTTGAAATATTTGGATTTTTTAACTACCATACAGCAGTAAAAAAAATCTGAGAAAAATTCACCAACAAATTGTTTTTTAAGAGAAACTTTTGAGATTATTTTTGAGCCTATTCCAGGGTTCTAATACACAGTAAAAATTATTTGTTGTTATTTTTTCCAAAAATATTTTCTTGCGCTTGAATTTGAATGAATCTGAAAAATATAGAAAAAATGTTTTTCTGCTAGTCTAAATTATTTTCTTATTTTATCAACCAGGTAAAATAGCATTAAGTTCACAAAGGGGAAAAAAAATTAAATAAAACATGTTTTTGACTGTAGAGGGATATGGGTGGTGATATGGGCTAAAAACCTTTCAAAAATCTTATTTTTGTTAGAATTATAGTGTAACTACTCATATGTCATTTGATTTAGAGGAACCTTTTACAATATTATCCAGGGGTAGGTACCCTTCCACCTCTACTTTCCAAACTTAAGATAATTCTATTGTATCATTTTTCAAATCATTATAGTGATTCTGAAGAGTCTTCAATTCTTCATAAGCTCTGTCAAGTAAATTCTGTACAGTTTGGAAATCCAAATTAGAGCTCTAAAGGAATTTCGAAACAATGATAGTTGATGTTAGAATTTTGGAATATACTGCTGCATTGAAAAACAAACTAAAATTTTTCATTTCTTTGTTTCAAGTTACAGATTTCATTTGTTTGAGATATTTTGACAGAAAAAAGGTTTTTTCATTAAAGCTTGTAAAATATTAAAATATCCTAATCTTGTAGCTATTAAGGAATTATTCCCTGATAATCATCTTATAGTACAAAGTAATTATAATGTAAGATTATTTAGTTTTTATCTACGTCCATCATGGTTGATAATGTTCCACCGATTATCAAAGAAAACAAATTCGTTTCAATAAACAGTAAAATGTTGGAACTTCTAATGTCCCATTCATGGCATCATTAAGCATAAGATTTAAAATATAAGCAGCACAATTCCAAACAAAGCACTGTCAACATCATTTACTTCTTTTTCCTTAACTCCATTGTAACTTCCACTCATACCTGCTGCGCCATCATATCATTGACCTCTATGTATTGATAAATCCATGCCTTTTTTTTTTATTCTCGACATTATCAAAATGAAATCCTTGGGCAGAATCCTTGTTTGCGTATTAATTTTTCTGAATGGTTTCGTAGTAGAATTTGACTTAATTACATTTGATACATTTTGCGTTGTGCCAATTGTAACAGAAAAAAATAGCGCTTCATTTATTTCTTCTATGATTTTATCAGACTCGGTTTCAGATAAAAGATTTATTACTTCATTTTGAATTTGGAAACTAAATTAGCAGGAGGGCCATAGACACGGTACTAAGAGCCCGTATGGAACTTAAGCTGAGCTCACCTTTTGCCAGTAATAATAGTAGTAGAGCTGTGGGTATGTTACTATTTTGTTAGCAATACAAAAAAACTAAAATCTGCAGTTTGTTTATCAATGCTTATAAGTTTTCTATAACTCAAGCGTGACAATGTTGAGTTTTCAAAAGTTGCTAATTTTGCTTATTTTGGAACTTTTATTCACCTTACAACTATTTATAGTTTTAATGTTGGGAAGAGGTTTTGGAGTTCAAGAAAACATGTGCAGATGTTACTTCTCCCCCAAACAATACATACAGTTTGTACTGTTTTTTCATAATAAATTAAATCAAATATTTAGGCACTCTACCAATATTGACGAACATATTAGAATCAATCTTAAAAGCTATTTATAACAACATTTTATAAATATAGAAACACATAAGAAGACTTCAGAAAGGGATGTTGAGTTGTTGTTTTTTCTCTAGATATTGATTGAAGCATGCTATATTCTAAAATGAATCCCCATCACATCTTTCGGTACACCTCCTTTGATGCTGAAATTTGAGTAAATAATGAAGTACATCTTTCGGTTAACAACTTCGTTGTAAACTATTAAAAATTCTGTGGCCAATCTTTTGTATCCAGTTCTAATTGGGATCACTATCCTTTAAGAAGCAAATAATAATGTAGAGCTGTTTGGAAAAATAGAAAAATGTATTTAAGGTTAACAATTCAGATAGGAAATGCATTAATCCCAAATAGGATTTATTGTTTTATCTTTTTATGGGATATGATCTTGTATTAACTTAGAGGATGAATCTCTCTTTGCAAGTTACCCTATTCAGCTGCCTGAACTGTTCACACAGTCAAAATTTACGTATGGAGTCATATAATGGCAGGAGCAAGAGGGTTGGAAAAGTCTTTAATGAGTACTTGTGTGTGTACTTGCATAAAATAATAAGCAAGAATATATCGTACTTGGGCAAACAGATAAACGCAACATAAACATATATCAAATATTTTACACAGTGTGCAAAAAGTATGCTTTCCTATTTAAATGAAACTAAAAAGTTCTTAAAAAACATCTTGATATTTTGTTTTATTGGTACAACAAACTATACAAATATAAAGTAAATATATACATTACAATAAGCAAATTAAAAAGACAAATTGATACAACAGGAAAGTAAATCTATGAAAAATGTAAAACAAACAATTATGCACAAATGGAAAACATAAATGATTATATGGCATGACATACAATATCAATATTTCCTTTACACTATTCTGTTGATTTTATGGTGTTTTTGTTTAATTTGTTTTAGCTTGACTAAAACACTGTTTTCTATTTTTCACTGATTAAAGTTTTGATAATTGTTCTCAACAGCTTGTTAGGTATTGTTTCATTTACAGACTACTGTAATATATCACAATCAAATAAGAATTAACATCTTAAGGAGACCTAAGCTGTTATAATTCATAGTCAATTTCTCATACAAAACCAGTCAAACAAAAATCTTATTGGTAGCAATGTAATAAAATTTATAATTAATTTTTACAAAGATTTTAAAGCTTTTTGTTTCCAAATCTAATAACCTGAAATTAAATTTTCAAAAATGATGATGACTAAATGCTATTAATCATCAATCCATATGACTGTGTCAATACAACACTCAAGTCTTCATTTTAAACTATGTGATCAGTTTATAAAGCTACTCTGCTGTTCAAGATCCAGGAAGATAAGTGAAAGAACTGTAATTCTGCTTCTGGGACAGTTCCTTTGACTGCTTTTCTGTGACAGGCCCTTCATTCACCACCCCCTTCCTTTCACCTCCCTCCTTCCTGTGGTCTGGGTCATACCAATTCAAAGCAGAATAGGGATCGTCTTCATTTAATGATTTGAGGTTAACTTATAATGTGCAGCACAGATCAATGAAGATTTGTGATGGAAGAGTGTTTTCGAACACAATATTTCCTGATTGGGATGCTTGCATGAATTACAGTAATGATGATGTGTTAGCGAAGATCGAGGCACTTGATAAAGTGTTTTTTTGTGATGAGGCTTGTTTTCATCTAGATGGATACATTAACCAACAAAACAGTACCCTCTGGGCAACTGAGAGACCACAGGAAATATTAGAGAGACAATTGCATTAAAAAAGATTGGATTATGGTTTCTTGATGCAGAATAATTGCTCTGTTGTTATCCAAAGAAACAAGTACAGTGAATACATATCAGAACATTTGATTTCCTTTGAAAAGATTGAAAAAAATTGTTGGTTTCAGCAGAATGGGGTGACATTGCATACTGCCTAGTTGACAATGCAATTTCTGGAAGATTTTTTTGGGAACAAAATAATTTCATGAGGTTTGTGGCCCCCCTCATTTACCTCACTTGTCCTCGCCACATTTTTGGGGATGGCACAAAAGTAAATTTTATGAGAACAAGCCTGCTAATCTCAAAGAGATGAAAAGAAACATCAAGATAGAGATTCACATATTTGACAAAGAAAATTTACATCGGGTTGCAGCAAATGTTCTCATAGGAGTTAATGCTTCTTTGATGGAGGGAGTTTTGTAAATTTTTTTATGAGGTTTGCTTGTTTCCAACACCAATTCTTCTTTGTAACAAATAATTTCCTTTTCTTCTTTACCATTTATTAAACTAGCTTCCTTATTTTGTTAGCAGGGAATTTCCGAAACAACAGTTTTACCAGGGATTACTATGCACCGACTACCGAGTCCAATTTTTCAAAACTATATTTATTTTTAAAGTAACATTATATCAATAATAATAATAGCAACAACAAACATTTGTTTTGTGAATCTTAAATTAATAATTTATTAATACTTATTTATAACAGCAAGTATAAAACGTGTACATTTCTGGAGAACAATATTTGAGACACTAAAACAAGCAAAGATTTATTAATTCTACCTGAATGTATATTTTACATGGCAAGCTTATTTCACTTTTCAACAATTTATGAAAGAATCACTGACAACAAGCAGGCATTTCTTTGAACTTATGACCAAGACAGTCCCCTGCTCTCTTCCTCTGGGTGACATTAGAGGAGAGGTGATTAAGCGAACTTTAAGGCAGTTTACCTATTTGAAACCTCCAGCCACTCATCGTTGCCAGTACAATTCACTCTCCCTGCTGTGAGTTGCATTTTAAACTGATCACCCAGTATTTATTAGTCCAAACAGAGAAGACCTGAGAAATTCTTGTATACAATTTTCATGAATTAAAATCAATACTTATCCTTAAATTACATGAGATGTTCAATATTCAATTCAGCTTTGCAAAATTTGTCTCAGTCCAACTCATTTATGGCCAGGGTTGAGAATTTAGTTATATCTACCAATTTTCTTTTTTCATTGTTTTTGTTCAGCAGAGATAAGAGTACACAGCTTAGGTCTATTGTATGTTAAATCCATTTCTAACCTGATAATACAGTGTCTTGGACTAACCCTTACTAATTGGTATTTAGCTATGATATATAGAGCTTTCGTCGAGGTAACTGTATTTGGAGGCTCAAGACAACAGAATACCTAAAATGTATATTAAGAAGCATTTATAAAATATTTTAAATGAAGAGAAATGTACACATATCAACAATTTTATTTTATTTTTTATTTATATTCTAGAAACTGAATTTTATTCATATTCGATTGCTTCTAAAATCCAAATATTTAATAGTTTTCTTAAAAATATCTGAATTATGAAAATATAGTTCAATATTTTCAGAATACCCTACATTTGAAGTTCTAGTACTTATATTTATCATCTGTAAGCAGGCTAGTGTAAATGGTTCACATTACATGATTAGTTTATTTGAGTAAAAAAATCAGAAAAGGAAAATATCCATTTCATTGTATTTGTTTTCTGACCTTAATAAACAGACACTAATATTCTGAAAAATATCCATATTAAACTCACGAAATCCACATTGTAGAAAGGAGAGAAAATAATTAATTACCATATACATGATTAATAAATATTACTGTCATTTGCATTTTAAATATTTTCTTTAATCACATGATGGAAACATTTTCAGCACCTCTTGGACTACCTGCATGACTAATATCACAGCTGTGTTATGGATATCTTAGCTTCTTTGCCAACTATTTCATCCAACCAAAATCTGTGAAGAAAATAAATACTATAAACAATAGTACTTTCTCCTCTTCTTCATAAAATATTCATTTATAAGATTTCTCTGTGAAACAATAACATACAGTAAAATCTATGTAAGCCGGAATCAATTGGGAGAAGACTTGCAGAAGCATTCATTACATTAAGAATATCTCGCAGCTCTATTGATCGCATTAAAATTACATGAATTCTGTTTTATAAAGATTTTTTTCCCCTACGGAACATGAAAAACTGTTCTGTTTCTGCATTGGACAGGTTCTGTTTTTGCTATGTAAAACACAATATAACTTCTTGGGCCAGAAAAATTTTCCTTTTAAGGCAGGTCTCTGGCTTTTACAGCTTCCAGTTTAGACAGATTTTACTGTACTATCTTTAGAAGTCAATAAATTTCTCACACACTTTGTCAAGTATTGTTAAAAAATTCTTTGGCAATTTGTGCATTCATTCACATTGTCTGTAGTGAATATTCAAGTTCTTCTCATTATATTACATTACTGTTGTAGTTGTAGTATAGCGAGTTATATTACACCCTAGGGTGTCTCTCGCATCCCAGCCTCCACATCTCTCTTTCGGTGAAGTCTTCATTACTTAACCCTCTCTTCACCATTGCCTCATCCGCTCCCTCTCCCCATGTAAGTCTAGGTCTTCCTCTTTGTCGATGGGTAGCTGGTTGCCATTTCCACAATATTTTCGGCCAACACTCTTCGTTCTATTCTTTGCATGTACCCGTACCATTTTAGTCTTTTCACTTCTATGGTGTCAATTATATTAAAGCTCACTTCCACTTTATGTTTAATTTCTTCGTTCTTAACTTTATCCATTAAAGGCAGTCTGCAACTTGGGTGCCAGAAATTCATTTCCATTTTTTTCAATTTCTTTTCACTCTTTGTTTGTTACTTCCCATACCTCAGAACCATAAAGGGCAATATTCTCTACAACAGTCATATAATTTTCTTTTTACACTCTTACTTAATTTATCTTTCCATATCAGTGGATGTAATTGTCTTATAGCCACTCTACCTTTTGCAATTCTGTTTATAATATTTTGCATACTGCCTCTATTTGTGTTTATTTCTGAACCGAGCTTTATGAATTTTTGATCAGGTTTTCAATCCAAACCATCATCCAGTTTCAGACCTTTAGCACTTCTTCCTACAACCATATACTCATTCTTGTTAAGGTTTATTTCTAAACCCCATTCCAAGTACTCTTCATATAATTTTCGCAGCATGTATAGAGCATTGTCTTCTTCTTCAGTGAAGTTACATTACTGTTTTCTTGAAAAGGATGCACTTGGAGTTTGACACCCTTTCAATGAATCATGAAAAGATTGTGCTTTTTTAAAGAGAGTTTCTGCATTCTTCCAATTTTTCTCCTTAAGTATCTGAAGATATTTGAGATTTTGTTGACTGGATTCTATTGCTGCATGAAGATCAACATTTTTATAATATAAGCTAATTTTGTGACATGTAAATGCAATTCTCTCAACTGATTTTAAAGTGTTTTCGTGTCTTTCACCTAAAAGATTTTTCTGAATGTCATGAAGTTCTTTATATATAGCAAGAGCCTTATTTAAATGTTCTAGTGATTTCTCAATGGATGATTCTTCAGCAAGTTTATTATGTGTAAATGCAACATTACTTTTAGTTCTCAAAATATTATTTAGTGTTTTTAAATTGTCTTCATGATCTTTATAGAGAGCTGTTTGAATTTTATAAATCTTATTATACATGGTTAGAGCATTATTAAAATTTACAAGTGCTTCTTGTTTATCAGTTGAGTAATTTCCAAGCCTATTGTATGTAAATGCAATATTTATTTGGGTTTTTAATGCATCCTCATGATCTTCTCCTTCAAGATCTTTCTGAATTACATAAATTTCCTCATACAAAACAAGAGCTTTATTAAAATGTTTAAGTGCCTCTTCACAATCTGTCTCTTCACCAAGTTTATTATGCATAAATGCAATATTATTTTTAGTCCATAGAATACTGTTTCGGGTTTTTGAACAGTCTTCATCATCTTCACCAAAATCTTTTAAAATTTTATTAATCTTCTCAAAAATATTTACTGCATCGTAAAAATGTACTAGTGCTTCTTGTATATTAGATGATTCTTTGCTGAGTTTATTAAGTGTAAATGCAATATTATTATTTGTTCTCAAAATATTATTTAGGGTTTTTGAACTTTCTTTATCATCTTTACCAAGATCTTTTTGAATTTTGTAAACCTTACAAAAAGTGTTGAGAGCATTCATAAAATGTTCAAGTGCTTCTTTTTTACAAAATGATTCATTACCAAGTTTAGTATATGTAAATGCAATATTGATTTTGGTTCTTAATGAGTCTGCATGTTCTTCTCCAAAAAGATCTTTTTGAATGTTAAAAAGTTCCTCATATATAGCAAGAGCCTTCTTAAAATGTACTAGGGCTCCTTCATTGCATGATTCTTCAGCAAGTTTATTATGTATATATGCAATGTAACTTTTAGTTCTTAAAATATTATTTAGGATTCTTAAGCTATCTTCATGATCTTTACCAAAATCTTTTTGAATTTTGTGAATCTTTTCATAAATGGTTAGTGCATTATTAAAATAAATTAGTGCTTCTTGTTTATCAGATGATGTATTACCAAGTTTATTGTATGTACCTGCAATACTGATTTTAGTTTTTAATGTGTCTGAATGCTCCTCTCCAAAAATCTCTTTCTGAACATCATAAAGTTCTTCATAAATATCAAGAGCCTTATTAAAATGTTCTAATGTCTCTTTATTGAATGGCTCTTCACCAAGCTTAATAAGTGTAAAAGCAATATGATTTTTAGTCTTTAAAATATTATTTAGGGTTTTTGAACTGTCTTTGTCATCCTTACCAATATCTTTTTGAATTTTGTAAGTCTTATCATAAATGGTGAGTGCATTATAAAAATGTCCTAGAACTTCATATTTATTTGTTGATTCTTCACCAAGTTTGATAAAAGTAAATGCAATGTTGATATTGGTTTTCAATGTATCTTCGTGTTCTTCACCCAGAAGGTCTTTTTGAATTTCATACACCTGTTCATAAATTTTGCTTGAATTATAAAAACATTCTAAAGCTTCTTGTTTATCTGATGATTCACCAAGTTTAATAAGAGTAAATGCAATAGATTTTTGGGTTTTTATGGTACCTTTATGTTCTTCACCAAATATATCCTTTTGAATACTGTATACTTTCTTATAAATGTATAATGCATTATTGTAATGGTAAATAGCTTGTTCATGTGATGACTCTTCACCAAGTTTATTGTGAGAAATTGCAATTCTATTCAATTTATCTAGAATAGACCTCATGCTTCTTCCAATCCCCCAAATGCCAAGTATATCTCTTTCTCTTCTAAAGACAATAGTTGCTTCTTGTAAAGCACAATAAAAATACCATAATGCTTTCAAATACTCATTTAATGAGAAACATAATTGGCCAATATTTTGATGTATAAGAATAATTCTTTTTCTAGTTGGTAAAATGGTTTTATACTCTTCACTGTAATCTGTTTTTTCTAAATTTAGAATTTCTTTGCAAGTTGTCAGAGCTTTTTCAAAATACATTATTGCTTCATCTTGACTCTTTCTCACTCCTTGTTTAAATTCATTGTAGGCAATAGATTTTTTGATGCTGATAATGTTAAGGTATTTTCTGCATTCATCAGATGCACTCAAGAGATCCTCGTAGTTAACTGATTTTTTAATCTGATTAAAAATATCTTTGGTAATAAATCCACCATTTACATCTGACCCAAGAGCAATTTTTATCACTAACTTGTATAAGTCATGGCATTCTTTATAAGAATCATCATAATTTTCAAGTAAAGTGTGGGTGTATGCTTTACGACTCAAAGCAAGTAAAGACTTTGGAGATTCATTTGCTGGTATTTTTTCCAAAATTTTCAATGCTTCTTCATACAACACTCTTGCTTCTTTGGGCTTCTTTTGCCTTGTTTTTTCTTGTCCTTCAGCATTTTTGGCTTTAACTATATTGAGCTGATAATCAATAAGCAAATTATCATTAATATCTATAAATCCTTTATTTTCTAATTTTTTGTACAGTATCAGGCCTGGACTATTACAGCTGTCATTTTTGTCTATACCAGCCAATATTTCAAGTGCCTTATCATTCTTACTCTTGTATATCAATTCTAGAATTACATCATTCAATATTTTAAGAATTATTTTTGTAGTTTCAATTGTTTTATCAGGAATATAATCATTAACATCAAATTTCTTATACAATAAACTAATCAACTCTCTAGCATGTTTAGGACTGGCTAACAAAATCTGCATACTTTCAGCATTTATATCACTCTTTTCAAAAATTTCATAAACAACTTCATACAAATTAAAATTAGGTTTTTCACTTCTGACATACAGTAATTCGCTAAGATATATTATATATCTATTTTTTTTAAATAAAATTTCTATTAGCCTTCTTAAATCATCTTCTTCAATTACTTCATCAGTTTGTGTTTTTGTTATCAAGTTACTGATATAAGGAGCTGTATATTCTTTTTTTAGTAGTTTTTTAATAATCCGATATATATAATTATTATCTTTAAACTTAAAGCCATAATGACCGGGTCCTAGATTACTAATTTTTTCCACATCTTGACTCACCAAAAAGTCCAAAAATATTTTATCACTAAATGCTGCTTCTATATTATCAAATTTAATTTGATATTTATGATAGGCATTGTAGAATGTTTTGAGAATATTATTAACAACTTTGGCAATATTTATTTGTAAACCCTCAGATGGTATGTTTATAACTTCTTCTTTCTTTATTAGATTACGAAGCTTTCTTTCAATGAATTGTTTAGCATTTTCTGACAAAAAATAGTTTCTCAATAAATCTTTATGATTATTTAAACTGAAAACCTCTCCTTTAAATTCTTCCTGTATGAAACGACTATAAATGGAAATAATATCTTGATTTAAAATTTTATATTCTGCAAGTTCTTTGGAAATCTTTAAACTCATTAAACCTTTAACAATATCTGTAATTACATTTTCTCTATTAAAAGCACTGTTACCCTCTAAAGAAAATTGAATTGTCTTATTGAAATAACACTCTTCTATACCATATTTACCAAATTTCTCTTTTAAATCTTCCTTCTTTAATTGGTACAGGTCATCACACTCTTTAATTTCCTCTAACCTCACAAAATCTTCAAATATTTCCCTTCTTTCTACATCACTTAATTCTCTACAATGATCTGAAATTTCACTTTCTTCTTCATTATCAATTTGCCTTCTTTTTTCATCATCAATTACTGCAAAAAATCTTAGGTACTTTTCTACTAGATCTTCGACATCACCATCCTTTACTGAGAACAACAATTCTGAGAAAACATGTTCAAAAGAACCCGTAGTTTCCCATTCTGATAAAGTTAAAAAATCCTGTTGGAACTTCTCTTCAAGACTCTCCAGTATCTTACTAAAATTATCTATTATTCCGTCAATTTTTTCATCCAGTCGGGCATGACAAAGTTTGTTATGAATTTCTTGGGCACTATAATACTTAAATAATTTTGATCTTAAATCAAATATTGCTCTTTTAAATTCTTTTAATCTCAAAGTTGGATCCCTATACATGTAAAAATTATGTATGAGTTCATGTCTTAAATTTCTTAACTCCTCAAATCCTTCCTTCAGTTCTTCATCAAACAATGGAATAATGTTCACAGTAAGATCAAACATTACTTTCTCTTGCTGTTCTGGTTGTTCACTATAGGCTTCTTTTACAAAATCGTGAAACAGTTTTGATACTGTTTCCTTACCTTTAATCTTTTGCATAGAATTTGATTGTAGTATATTTTTTAAATCTTTTTTATTTAACTCACTCTGTTTGAGCCCACTTAATTTGTCATGCACACCTTGTACATAATCTTGTAAATTACAAAAAAATAATTCCACATCCCACTTGCCATTTATTTTGGGAACAAAATTTTGTAGGTACATGGGCGAAATAATTTTTTTGTTTTCACGGTCTTTACCACTTCTCTTCACAAAATTTTCTCGAATATCCTTGATAAGATCATTGTCTTCTTTTCCAAAATATTGTACAATGAGTTCATTTTTCTTATCAGGTGGCAATTTATTATTTATTTCAACATCCTGTAGAGCAAATGCTTCTAAGAAAAGGACAAAAATGTTAACATTCTTATGGGTAAAATTTTTAATATCTCCTTTTTCTCCTGTTAATTTTATTAGGGCATCTAAGGAAAATTTAACTTTTTTCCTAATTTTTTCTTCTATCATTTCTTCTTTCTTAGGGGAGTGTGAAAGGATACACTTCTCTGATTTTCCTTTAATAATTTCAAAAGAATTATGTACAGTTTTCTCTCCCAGTATCTTAATTATTTCATTTTCTTTGCATTTCATAGCAATGCCAAGGGGAGTGTTACCATTTTCATCTTCAAAATTAACATCCACTCCCTCTTCAATTAGGTGTTTTACTTCTATTGAACTACTTTGAGCTATAGCAGTCAACAACTTTCTTCTCCTCTCATTTTCATGAAATGAACTTTCATTTTGCTGAATTTCCTTAGTTCTATTTTGGCTAATTGCTAATTCACTCCCTTTGCCTTGCACCCTTTTTGTCCAAGAATTATCTGCCTCTTGTTGAGCAAAACTTGTGCTCTTGCTATTTATGACATTTGATTTACCTTCTTCAGAATTGGTTTCGCTGCATGGTTGTAGATTTGACAGTTGTTCAATTGAAGCTTGTGGGGTTAGTAGAATATATAATTCAAACATTTGTGTAACATCTTGCAAGTTAAGTAGTCGAGCAATTTCAAGAGGAGTTTTTTTTTCATTATTCATTACACCAGGATCTGCATTATTTTCTAGAAGCAATTGAACAAGTTCTTTATTGCCGCCATAAGAAGCAATATGTAATGGTGTATTACCTTCTTCATTTTGACGATTGATTTCTGTTTCCCATCTGGGTTGCAGTAACTCTTCAATTATCTCTTTTTTGTTCCGTTCAACAGCATAGTGCAATGGGGTGTTATCTTTGTTATTCTTATCGGTAACATTAGTCTTCACTTCATCCCATTCTAGAAGTGATTTAACGCGATTAAGATCACCATTTCTTATAGAAGTAAACAGCTCTCTATTCTTGACCCTGACTTCATCACTATCACATCTGTAATATCGGATTTTTGGCATCTTAAAACTTAGGATGTGTTCTCTGGTGTGGGCGGGACACCAGACGCCAGCCGCCGCATAACTTAACTGATTGTAACATGAGGTGAGTCATAGGTCGACAACCTTCTGGGTATTTCGCTTTTATAATACAATATAATTTATAATACTGGCAGGCAGAAATTGTATTCCTTATATTAGTTCCTGATAATAAAACTACTTGAATGCTCTTGTTCGATCTGATTCAAGAGAACTAGAAACGGCCTTATTCTAGCCGTGCCCCGGTGTACTAGGCTTACTTGAGACTCTTGTCATAGAGCCAGTGCCGTCATTAATACACGAAATGATGTAAATGATGTGTAGTAAGGGAGAACTATTTCGTATTCTTCATTCGGCGCGATAGTGTGGAAGAATATGGCAATAGTTATTTTAATCTGACACGCCAGGTTAAAGTTAACAAAGTGCGCGTGGGAGATGAAAACTAGTGGTGCTCAATTTCTAAATTTTGAATTTTCGAAAATTCAGAGAGTTAAACGAAAATTAGACCTGCGCCATTCTTTTAAGAGTTCCGTGTTCTATCCATGGAAAACATTGAAAGAAAAGATTTCAGCGATTTTTGAGAAACTCTTTTTTATATATTTCATTATTTTCATGCACAAATTATGCCAAAACTACTCGTTTTTTCAAAACTTGTTCGTGATATTTTTAAAGAACTGATTTTTGAGAACAGATTTTAAGGCAAAAATCAATATATTAAACTTTGTAGTTTTAATTGTTAAATTTTTGCAATTTTCGAAAATGCAGTGAGTTTGCTGGAATTGAGATTAAGCATAACTTTTTTACCGTTTTTAATGGATTCGAAGAGAATATGTGAAGAAAAAATTCGGAGCCGTTTTTTGAGAAAAAAAATGTTTAAATCAATTTAAAAATATTCTATATTTCACACAAAATTACGCGAAAACTGCTTATATTTTTCGAAAAATTGTATGACCATTTCAAGTTCTTCCATAAAGAATAGATTTTATTCAGGAAAAAGTCTCTTACTTCAATAGATTGTAGGATGAAATAAAATTGAACTTAAACAATTTTCGAAAAATCAGGGGTTTAGGGAAAATGAGACATGCACTTTTCTCTTAAGCGTCCCTTATTCCAGGATAAAGTTTAATAAAAAATGGTGGGGCCATTTTCTAGAACATTTTGAAAATATTAAACCTTCATATAAAGTTCACCCAAAATTAAAATATCCGTTTCAAACTTCGAGGACATCGAGTTCATTTAAAGCGATTGGGAATATTAATTTTGGGCGTGCCTGAATGGTTTAGGCACTAGCGTTGATCACAGACGGACTGACAGACGGTTTGGCGTCAACGATGTTTCGGTATCAAGTACCCACAAAACATGGATTCTGAATACAAAACGGATGTTAAAGAAATTAATTTACTGTATAGGAACAAGATTTATTCTGCTAACTTTTTCGTTACCAGGGCTTCGCAAAAAAGAGATTATCTGACGAAAATTCGCAGTTTTTTGGCACACGTTTACAGTTCTTTCGTTTCTTATGAAGTAAATGTGAGAAAGTAAAATCAAAGAAATGGTGCTCGACTGAATAGAGAGCGTCATTGTTTCTCGATACGGTGTAAAGAGAAAGTTATGTAATGCTACGGGAAAAAACTGCGAATTTTCGGCAGAAAAACTCATATTACAGGGCCCAAGTAAAAAAAAAGTGGAATAAATCCAGTTGCTAAATTTAGAAAGAAAATCCTCTATCACGTGGTATAGCCAGAATCCATGTTCGTCGTTCAAGCCGAAAAATCGAATGACGGCACGTTTGTCCGTCGGACTGTGAACCGCTGTGAACAACGCTAGCGGCTAAATCTATCAGCCGATTTTCTCCAAATTGATATTTCGCAATCGATCTGGCTGGTGTCGCGGCCCCTTGAATTTGAAACCGATATCAACCAGATCGATTGTGGATTCGATTACGGATTGCCTTCGTTCGATTTTTTTGGTATGAAGGACCCAGAAAACACGGACAACGTCCTTCGTAAAGCTGGGAAACTGGGTTGGGTGGGGTTGGTCAGGTGAAAAATTAGGAGAATTATTTATTAATTCATTTATTTCAATTGTTCGCTTCTGAAAAACAGCATACTCTCTGAAATTAACATATCTAGAATTTATTCACACTAATTATATACGGAAGAAAATGAGAGTTCAAAATATGCAGTTGAAAGGTTTACACAAATTTCCATTTTTACAGGCGGAAATAACAAGTAAATCACACATTATATTGAAAGCGCAGACTATCTATTGATATAAGGCAACACTTTAAGGTTTACAGAATTACACGGCTCTTGGGTCGAAAATACAAGTTGGAAACATTTTTTTTATTTCTACAAAGGAAAATAAATACGCTCCTCTCGTTCTCTCTACTTACGAAAAATTGTAGCTACCTACTTGCGAAGTGCCTATGTTTAAAAAGTCCTTCTGCCATTTCAAGTGCTTACACAAAGGATAAATTCACATCACAACAAAAAAATCACTTCTTAAAATTTCCTTCATTCTATCAAGGATGATTCGTTCAAGAGATTTCCCAATGATGGGAAAGGGGCTTATAGGTCGAAAATTGTTCGGATGTTTTAGATTTTTACCCTGTTTTGGGAATAAAATGATAATAGCTTTTTTCCAGATGTGTGGAAAGTAACGAAGGCTGAGACAGGCATTGAATATCTTAATAGCTTTGGATAGCGGGGGTTGATATTTCTAATATGTTTGATTATTTCTTCCTTCGTCGTCACCTAAGATGTGTTCAATTCGTGTTCATGAGCTTGTTCATCACTTGTTCTTCCTTCATTCGTAACTGAGCCATTTTCATCTATTAAACTTCCTTGGGTTTGTAGTAGGATTTCATGTATTGTTGGAGTAGTGAATCTTTCTTTGAGAGTATCAGCGAAAATTTCAGTTTGCTCTAATGGATCGTATGCAACTCTTCCATACGGCGATTCTAGGGCTGTGATAGGCTGAGGAGCAGCTCGTAATTGTTTCTGTAGTTTCGATAAGACTCTTCCTCGTAGTATTCGATTTTCTTTAATGTAATTCTCACATTGTTGATTATGATATTCTCTGAGCTTCCTCTGACGTGTTCTTCTTGCTTCAACAAATTGTCATTTATCTTCAGAGTCTCTTGTCCTGTAGTAACATCTTTGTGTACGGTGGCGGTTCCTGATTAGGTTTAGAATTTCTAAGGGAAGTCTGCTGTGATTGTTAGATCCCTCCAGACTTCCTACATTCTCTTTGGATTATTTGATGACTAATTTTTTTTGTTTAGATAGTTCATCCACTTATTGTTCAGTTTATAACTGCAGAGTAGGGGAGATGAGATGAGGCCAAAAATTTGATTTTGTTAGAATTTTCGTTGTATTTTGAAAAAAGGGGAAGAAAGTAAGGAAAAGGGGTAAGTTGCATTGAGGTTAGAAAGCTGGATGAAAGCTCTTGTAGTGATTGTGGGCTTGTAGGATGCATGTCTTTGGTATGGATGTAAAAATATAAGGTTTGATGTGATAAACCTCGATAAATATGCGTCGGAGTTGGGGGTGGGGTTACTTGGAGATTGATGTTGGATTCTACGTAATTGTAAAGAATATTTCCTGACGTATGATTACTAGCACTCCCCCATTCCACTCTCTTGCTGTTAAAGTCTACTGCTATAATATGGTATTTACCCAATTGTAATAGTTTGGTAATGTCACTTGCTCTCATTTCCACACTTGGCGGTTTATATACTGATGAAAAGGTAATCGATCCTTGCGCAGTGCCTAGTTCTACAACAGGAGCCTCGAATGCCTCCAGTTGTGGAATTTGTGATCTGGTATGAGGAAGAGGTTTCTTAATGGCTATTGCAGTTCCACCATGGATAGGTCGGTCGTCTCTGTAAATATGAAAATTAGGCAAAGTAAATAGTTTGTTGGGTTTTAACATAGTATCCTACAGTAGTAAGATTTGTGGTGAGTATTTATTTATAAACTGTATTAGTTCCGCTTTTTTTCTCTTGCGTACTGCCTTCACGTGCTGTACTTTGTAGTGTCGCATTTTGTGTCGTTGAAGTATCCATGTGCTCCAGGGGATGAAAACGGTTTTGAGTGGGTATCGACGGTTTAGGCTTGAGTATGTTTTTTGTGAGGGCAAACCACTCCTCACTTCCGCGATTTATTATTTGTTCTTTTGATATCTCCATATTTTCATCTCTTGTTTTAACTTGATAATTGACAGTGGATTTATCAATTATTTGATTCTGTTGCGGAATTTGTCTAATCACTTCTGTCTCGGATTTTGTTAAAGATTGAACAGATGAAGGATGCTCTAGTACGTTTCAGGGTGGAGATGATACTTGCTCTTCTATGGGAAGAAATTCTTTATAGTTATGGGGGAAGGATTTGTATTCCTTCTTCTTTGTTACTGAGTTTTCTGTATGTTTTGGACTTTGCAAATCCTTGCTTAATCTGTGTTGTGTTTGTAATGGATATCCGGATAACTCTTCTATTTTTTCATGATATCTCTTAGAGCGATGTTTTTCTTTTCTGTTTTCTCTTGAGGGAGACTGATTAACGAAGATGTATGATTTCCTTAATAATTCCCTGTCGATTGTAATCGAAGTCTTTCTGGGTGAAATAGATTTTCTGTGATCTGCACTTTCATTTACTATATATTCCAAGTGCTCCTCCGATGGAGTCGAAGAAGTCATGGGAGTATGTTGGTTCCCAGAGAGGACCCCCTGTGTTTGGGTGGATATTATACTGACTGTGATGTATGTTGACTGCAGTCTATTTTCTCGGTTTTGATGAGCGAAAGTCTGATATTAACTCAACTCTCATACTGCCCCTGGAAAAACTCCGAGTATCATTGACACTGAGCTTACTCCCGTGTCATAACTCACTATTCACTACTCAACTCGATAAGACTCGAAACTCTCGTCACTACGTTAAACTATTGCCCGATTACTTTCACTTCACACTGTGGCTCATACTGCTGATACACTCGCACCGGTGGCCGCCTGTATGCCGTTTATAAAGGCCCGCCTGCATCGTAGTTACATCGTAATTATTGATCAAAGGGGGACGAGGCGCGACTCTAGCGGCAGGGAGTCAGAGAGTATATTGCAGGGAGTGGGCAATTTCGAACTCAAGAGCGCCATCTCGAAACGCTTTAAAGAGACGGCGGCAATTAAGAGGCGGGAAATTTGGAGGTTATAACAATACCCCCCTTCTAAAATTGGAATAGGAAGAAATGTAAAAAAAAAAAGCTTCCTGCGACATGTTTTACCGCTTCCTTTTAAGAATATTTTTTAAAGTCTATTTACATGAACGTTTTGCCCTTTGGCTCATCTACCTACAATTATATTAACACCACTCACTTTCTTCACTCTAAAGGGGCATATCCACAGGGACTGAAGCTTACGTTCGATCCCGGGCCGAAAACTCATTTTATAAGAGTACTTGCTCTAACCGTAACACTAAATTGACACTGCTTATATCATATTTTTTACTTATGAGTTTGCTCTGGTCTAAATACTGACGAGCAACTTCACGACACTTCACTAGTTTCATTTTCAAGTTGTTGAATATTTCACTAGAACTGGCAGCTGCGGCGGCAGACGTAAGAGTCAGCAGTGAGGGAAATTCGTAGCGACAGCTGAATCTCGTGGTCGTGTGAGGACAGCGGTAGCGAAGGGACTCCAGATGTCCGCGTTCACGTAGTGTCGCAGGTACTCTTTCAACGTACGGCGCGCCCGTTCCAGGGATCCGTTGATCTGAGAATGGTAGGCAGTGGTATGCAGGCGTTTTATACCTGTGCAGCTTGCATACCTCTGCAAAACCCTCGGAGGTGAAGTTGGTGCCACGATCAGTTAAGCCCATTCACGGAAGACCAAGGACAAGTATACATTTGTGCACAAAATGCTAGGCTATCTCTTGAGCGGTCTGATTAGGCACGGGAACGGCAATAAAATATTTGGATAGATAATCTTGAAACGTAAGAATATAGGAGTTCCCTTGTGCCGTAACTAGGAGGGGCCCTACTATATCCATAGCCAACCTTTCGAAAACCGTTAATGGCGTCGGTGTCAAAATTATTTCAACTTTAGCAGTTTTTCCTGGTTTGATCTTTGCCAAGAAGGGCACTCCTTTATAAATTTACGCACGTCTTTTACCATCTGAAGCCATGTGTACCGCCCGCGGAGCCGAGTTAACATGCAAATTATTCTGCAATGACCTAGATGATCCATTTGAAATTCTTGCAACAAGGATTCCGGACATTATGCTTTTTTACAGAAATAACTTTGTCCCACAACTCGTCGCCATCTGTAGATTGAAGAACCGGAGAACGGCGAACGATTTGAACGCCACATTGGGCCCTACTAAGGGCATGGACATTCGAATTATGCGTTCCCTTTTTGTAATTAATATCAACGTCGTATTCAGAGAAACGTATGTGCCATCTTGTAAGACATATTCGCAGTAGTTAAATTATACAACCATTTTAAACGCTGTTGATCTGTTAATATTTTAAATTTTCTACCATAAAGATATGGGCGGAAATGCTCTACTGACCTAATTGCAGCCAAATGCTCTTTTTCAATCACGCTGTAATTTTCCTCAGCTTTACTCAGAGTATGGGTGAAAAAGGCAAAGGGGGGGTTGGGGTACCTTGCGTCAGCCCGGCATCTATTGCACCAAAGCTGGCGTCGGTAGCTATTGAAAACTTTCTCAAAGTCAGAATATTGCAAGACGGGGTACGAGGTGAGGGCTTCCTTCAAACGCGCAAAGGCAAAATCGTGCTGTTCCCCAATTAAAATCAATGCCTTTCTTTAATAAGCAAGTAAGCTTAGCTACTTTGCTAAAATTGCAGATAAACCGCTTGTAATACGAAACTAGGCCTAGAAATCCATTGTTGCTATGAGTTCTGGGGCCGAGAAAAATTCCTGACGCCCTGTAGTAGTAGTAGTAGTAGTAGTAGTAGTAGTAGTAGTAGTAGTAGTAGTAGTAGTAGTAGT